AGAGCACGTTATATACGCATCAAGCCGGACGCACATAGATCACGCCCATTCAATTCCCCTGGCGATTCACGGGGACGGCGCAGCAACCCACAAGACGGATGGCCTCTTTACGACTAGTTGGACGAGCCTCCTCAGCAAGGGATCCACACGGGCAACTCACTTCATCTACACAGTTGTTCAGAAGTCAGAAATGCATTCGGGCACCCTCGAGATTTGATTTGCCGACCTCGCGGAAATAATGAATCAGTTGATGCGCGGGGCGCGTGGGGGCGGGCGGCACGCCGCTGCGTGCCAACGGCTACAAGGGAATTGTTGTGATGTTACGTGGGGGCTGGGAATTCTTCACTCAAGCTCTAAACTTCCCTGGGTGGGACTCAAGCCCTAACGCGCGTTGGATGTGCAGCGCGACCAATTCCTTGGATTCAGATCTATGTTGGACCAAGCGTGGCTGGCGCAGAACGATGAAATCCCATGAGTCTTACCTGGGGCCCCTTCGAGAGAGCGGCTCTCCGCTGCCAGCGCTATTTCGAAGCACGTCGCTGAGGTCGGAGGGCGTTGCCATCGATTGCCTCCGCGTTCTGGACCAAGGCATAGCTTCCCACATCATTGCAAACGCTCTGGTGGAGGTCATGGGCCTTGGCCACTGGGGCGGGAACCAGCAGCTTCAAGCCCAAGGTCTCGAGAAAAGCATCAAGAACTGGTACGATAACCATCGCGCCGATTCGCGCATCCAGGGGAAGCTCACATACGAGCGGCCCAAGACGTCAAACGACTGGCCCAAGCTCACAGCAAAAGGTGCAGCTAAAAGGCATCTATCTAAGTATGCAGCCCATATTACCCGTGTTCACAACAGTGGAGATTTGCACGATAACCGCCGTCATGCGATATGATATTTGCCCAGCCGTTTCTACGAGATTATCGACGAGCAGCCGAGGCAGCTGAGCGACGAAGCGGAAAGAGAGATCAGCACGTTGTCAGAGTTGTTGGTGTCGATCTACACAAACCTTGCAGACGAGGCGTTGTTAAATAACAAACGCAAGTGGAAGATGACAGCAAAGTGCCATGCATTTCAGCACCTGTGCGAGGTGCAGGCTTGCTCCCTGATCAATCCGACATACACGTGGAATCATGCCCCTGAGGATTTACAGAGAGTCATCAAATATATAGCTTTGAGTTGCCATAAACACAACACGCCGTTCATGGTTAGCTTCAAATGGTTGGTTGATGCATTTGACGACTTCGACGATTGATGAACCGCTGCGTGGGCGATTCGCGGAGACATCATACTACAGCATGAGTCGCTGTTTGGGCGATTCGCGCGCACTTCAACATCACACCTGCATTGCCATCACACTCACCGCAACATCAACATCAACAGCAGCAACAACAACAGCAACAACAACAACATCAACATCAACATCAACATCACAGTAACGTCACACTAACAAGGGCACCACATGAGCATCGCATGATGCCATCATAACAATATACCCAGCACCTACTTCACTCATTCTCATTCGTTTATTAGCAGGTGACTGTCTTCACGCTGTCTGGGATACAGACGAAGGTTTCACTGGACATGCCAATTTTCATAGTCCTTGATATCGACGACGCCTACGGCGAATTTCCGCCCCCCTGCCATTTGGGAAACGCCTGTGTTAGTCCCCGTTCACCAATCCTGCTCCCCCCTTCTTTTCTTCTCACTCGTTCCTCTTTTTCCTCCTCGTCACCATCACAACCATCAGCATCTTATCATTATTCCCTGGTGTCCTCCTCTTGGTCATCCCCTCCCTCTGTTCCTCCTCCGCCTCCTCCTCTTATTTTTGCTTCGCTCAAAAAATCATATGCATGCAATCCTACATGGTAGCGGGGCCGCGCCTTAAGCCCAGAGGCGCCAACTCGTGACACTTCGCGCCCTTTAACCCAAAATGTTAGAGCTGCGCTCGTTTTGTCCTCGGTGCCACACTCTTGGCGCTCGAGGATGGTCGGGGAGAGGGGGTTTGGCCTGCCCCCGGCTGGTGGGCGACAGTGCCCCGCGCCACTTCCAAAACGGGATGGATCACTAGGGTTGCGGGCCCGCACCCCGCGGATCGGGCCCGCCTTCAGGTGGCGGTGTGCCGCCTGGCGCTCGCCGTCGTCGAGGCGGACGTCCGGCGGGCCCACGAGGCCCACGAGGAGGCGGGGGCCTGCCCGCCCCTCCCGCGGGGCTGCCCCGGCCGCCCCCCCGCGGCGGCGGGGCTGCGGCTCAGGCGGCTGTGGGGGCATCGGCGGCCTGGCGGCCCCCCCCCCATCCCTCCTCCCCTCCTCGGCGGCTGGCTGGGCCGCTGGCGGCCTGCCGCGCCCAGCCCGACACTTTCGGGTTCATTAATTCATTAATTTGGGCTGCGCGCCACTGGCGTGCCGGCAGAGGCAAGGCCACCAGCGCGCCTACCTCTTTTCATCCTTAGACCTGAAGACACTCCAACCCGTGCCTCAGGGCACGGGCACGGTCAGCACTGCCAACGTCTGCGCGCTGAATCCCCGCGGGTTCAACAAGCATTGTACTCAGCAGGCCTGTGGCTCAACCTCGCGCGAGTTACTGCTGGACGGTCTGTTCTGGTGCACGGGCATGGGTTTCGTCTATATCCAGGGAAGCCGTGTCCGAGGTGACGGCTTGCATTGCAGCCTTCATTTCACCATGTGCCGCGCCACAGCTACCAACTCTGGTCAGTACGGCTCGCAGGCTTGGATTCGTCATGAGCCCAGAAACTTGGTTACGTCGGTGAAGGTGATCCCCCCGGGCCTGCTTCGAGTCACAATGGAGCCCCTTCGGCCTCCACGTAATGTCTGCGCATGCGCCCATTGAGGACTCCCCCAGCGGCATTAAGGCGGATTTCAGGCAGTCCGTCCTCGTGGAACTCGGCGCACTGGTTCAAAATCATACAAATTTCATGATAATTGACATCGACGCGAACGCTCGCGTGGGCCTTTTTCAGACCGCATCCATAGGCCCTGCCGAGGCCGACGACGAGACCGAGAACAGCTGACCACCGAGATGCAGCTGAAAGCAGTCAACACCTATACTTCGAGGCTGGCTTCACCTGGACCAATTCCAGGCAGACCTCTGCTCGCATTGACTATATGTTAGTGCCTCCCCAGCTTCCACGATCTAGTCATTGACTGCTTAGTGGATTTCTGTATCGACCTCGCCACTAAAGCCGCGACGACCACCGCGTCCTCGGTTGCAGTTTCTCTGGCCATTTCTTTTCTTTCGAGAACCAAGCGGTAACCCATAACAAACCGGTTGACCTTCAGCGGGTTCGGACAGCATTGCCGCCGAAGTATACCGACGAGTCGTTCCACGACCCCACCCGCTGCAAGTTTTTAGGACTGCTGATCTGCGAATTCGATTGGACTCCTGCGCAGGAGACTCATTCACAGGAGCAGCGCACGCTGCTGAACGAGCAAGTCTCGGAAATGGTCAATCACCTGCACTGGGCGGCGACGCAAGCCTTCGAGCTCCGCTCGCGCGCCCCGCGTAAGCCCTGGCTCAGCAGCGCGACCTGGACCTTCGCTCAGCACTCCATCTCTATTCGTGGTTACCTGCGTCAGCGCCGTGGCTGGCGTCAAACACACACGTCTCTCTGGTCACGGTGGTCCACGCATGGGACATGTACGTCCCATTGACGACTCGACTCAAATGGCATTTTGTGGTTCCGCTGCACCAGCCGCCTAAGGTTACCGAGCTGAAGGCGCCCTTCCTGCTCAGAATCAAGCGGTATGCGCGGATGGACACTGCCGACCGTGCGCAGCACGCTGCGGACAAGAATGGCGCCAAGGAGCTCTACGATATCGTTTGTCGCCTGGGCGTCACCCCAGCCCAGCACTTGAGGACTGTCAAAAACAATTCGGGTCGGACGAAATGGGGGGGATCGGGAAAGGTGGGTGGGGGGGGATGGGGGGGCGAATTCTGCTGCGTGCAGGTGATCTGACTGGCCCGCACAAATCGTCTGCGTTCTCCCCCCTTTCGCCCTCACCCTCCCACTCACCCCTCTCTCCACCTTCCCTTTATCCCACAAGGGCCGTCTTGGGCCTGAGCGCGCGCAGTGCGCGCTCGGGGCAGTGGTTGGGCGATATGTTTCGCTCACGTGGGGCTCGCTGTCGCCTAGGTGGGTGCGGCAAACCACCTGGGGAAATCAGCTAGTTTCAATTCCAGTATATTGTGTCGAGTTTGTTGTTTTGTTACGGCGTCGCAAGCGTCGAGCCAGACTGCGCGCTCCTTCGAGGAACCTGCAGAATTGCAGGCTGTGCCTCCCGGAGGACGGCGCGCGTCGTCGTCGCGGTCGTCGTGGTCGTCGTCGTCGTCGTCGTCGTCGTCGTCGTCATGGTCGTGATCGTCGTCGTCACGGTCGTCGTTGTGGCGGTCGTCATGGCCATCTTCCACACGGGCGTCGGAGGCGTCCTCGGCCCTCGGCGCAGCCGCCGGGCTCGGCGCGGCCGCCGGTCGCCCCTTCCTGCTCCGCTCGGGGGCCCCTCTCTTGTCGGCTGCGCCTGTCGGCTGGGTGAGCCAGCACCTCGCAGGTGACAGGCGCAGCCTCAGTGGCGGGCGGCGCGAGACGCCAGCGACAGCTGCACATGCGCCGTCCTTGCGGCCCCTGCACCCTAGTAACTACTGTTACTGCTTCGAGGTCGAGCTGTGGCTGCCCGCTCCTCGCTCCCCCACGCGTGGTCTCGCCGCGCCGTCCTGCCCCCTCCTTCTCGCCCTCCTCCCCCTTTCCCTTCCTCTTCGGCGAGAGAGCGATGCGGCGGGAGAGGTGGGCGAGCCGTCTGCTCTGGGCATGGCGCGGATGAGGAGAGGTTTGGGAGCGACAGGGAGGGGGGATACGCCAAAGGGTGCGGGGTCTGTGGAGGTCATCGCCCACGCCTCGTGTCGCAAGCGTGCCTGCAGGAGCGTCGGTTCAAAGGGTACCCTTCCACCTCCCTTGTGTCCACCCTCCCCCGCCCCTCCCCTCGTGTTCGAGGTTATTCTGGCATCCTTTCCAGCTTGGACAGCAACGAGAAGGAGATGCTCTCGTACATGTGCCTCCGCCCGCTCTGCGCGCGATCCCATGCATGCCGACCCCCATGCCCTCTTGAGACAGCAACTAGGAAAAATCCTCCATCCCCTTTGCAGGGGCAACGTGAGGGGGGGGATGGGCTCCGTGGGGGTGCATTGAACCCCAATCGCCCATTCATCGCAGATAGGGGCCCGATAGCCCGCCCCGCCCAGGAGCGCGTGGACCAGTTATCGAGGGCCGTCCTATTGCCGATCTATTGACGATGCATCGCCGATTCCAGGTCGATATTTCTTCCCCTGACCCAGTTCCCCCTAAGATGCCCCTATCAACTTCTGGTTCTGGCTCGGGCCTCAGAGGGGCGCATGCTCACCGTTCCGTCCCGGAGGCTTCTTGACGTGACGTCTTGTGTTCGAGAACAGGCGGGCAGCGGTGACATTAGATGTTTGTAATTGCGTGCACGGGGAGGCGTCGCTGGGAACACCTGGGGGTGCCGTACGCACGCGAATGCAGGTCTGATCCAGCGCCGAGTCGATTGCCTCAGCTGGCGCGTCCGGGCGTTCGGCCGACAGTTCTGGCGAGCCCTGCCAAAAAAGAGGGACCAGCTTCGAGGAGGTTCTGCCTCATCCTTCTCATCTTACCCCTATCCCTCCTCCGCGCCCGCTTCCTCGCGCACGGGGGGAGGGGCGGGCGAAGGAGCAGGCAGAGGAAGAAGAGGAGGAGGAGGAGGAGGAGGAGGAGGAAGAAGAAAAGGATGTGGAAAAAGAAGAGGAGGGGGTCGAGGAGGGTGAGGAAGAACGCTTCGAGCAGGGAGGGGCGCGCAAGAGGCAAGCCCGCGTGCTGCGCGACCACCCGGGCGACAAGACCATGATCGGGCTGCAGGTCCCAGGCCCGGCGCCCCGCTGGGGTCCGCAGTGGTCGGCGATCTCTGCCGCTGTCGGTGCCCTACCTTCTTCCGGGAGGAGGACCAGTGGAGACAGCCCGCGAGGTGCTGGCGTCGCCATTGTTCCACGGCGAGCGGTCTCGCCGCGTGTCGGGCCCCAGGACCTTCACGGGTCGATCCAGCTCGGCACAAATATTGGGTCCAGGTTCTCACGTTGCATGTTCTGGCCGTGGCGTCGCATTTCAGGGGCGGCGGCTCTACATGGCGTTCTTCGATCTTGCTGGGCCTCCTAGAGGCTTCTCGTCGCCACGGCTGGATCCTCCTCGGAGAACGGGTCAGAATGGACCCCGGGAGGGGTCTCGGGACCGATTTCGAACGGATTTGGGCCAGTCGGGAAAGCCGTCATTGTCTCAATTGGTTATCCTCCGATCCTCGTGGCCGAACTGTTCAGGAGGGAAGTACGGGAGTGCAGCGTGAGCGGGGATGGGTTTAGGGGGGATTGCATCGCCCATTCACCGCCGATAGGGGCCCGATAGCCCGTCCCGCCCAGGAGCGGGCGGATGTGCTATCGGGATCCAATTGCCGATCTATCAGCGATGCGTCGCCGATTCCGACTCGATGTTTCTCCCCTGACCCAGTTCTTTTTACGTTCCCCTTGATCCCCTCGACGTGTATTTCGATTCGATTGAGCCGATGTATTCTGGTCGGCTCGATCCGATTCGATTCCGTTATTCGCCGTGAAGCGAACGGATCTTGGGGTTTTCCACCGTTCTCGGGTTCTCGGGGCTCTCCCCAGGCCACAGGATTGCCAGAAAACGATTCAAGACGCAAAGTTTGTCATAGGGGAAGGCCCCTGGGCCCCAAACCCGCTTCACTCAGGACCAGTTTGTTTCCAGCCAATATTCCGACGATCCGATTCGGCCCGATGTTCGCACAGTTTCGTTGCGCATGCTGGCGCAGCCGATCCGATTCGATTACGATTCCAATGCCGTTGCAATCCGATCCGATCCGATCCGATTCACATTCGGATTCGACCCGATTTCCCGATTCGATACTAATTTATCTCGCCCTTCCCTGTTGTGCTGCGTTTGCATCGGCCGGCCCGGCCGGCCTCTTCAGGAGTATACGGCATGTTCGTTTCTCGTCGGCGTAGCGGCGCCGCCGGCGCGGGCGTTCAAGGTTGAACGCCGCCGTTGGTCCAGAGTTGGCAGATGGCGAGCTACCCGCGTTGTTGGAAGGTCGCGATCGTTCAAGGGTGAACGCTCCACGCGCAAAGTCAAATTTCACAAGTAGCCACGGCACGGACCGGCAGCAGATGCATGTGTGTACATATCTACATATACATGTATGCACATACACAGGTATGCAAATGTATGCATGTATACATATACGGGGGACCGGGGCCGGGGGCCGGCGCCTCGACCACAAATGTGGGGCCCGGCGCGCCGGGAGCCTTGCCGGAGCGCCGGGGGCCGTCCAAGATCGCCCGAAGATGGCTTCGGAACGTTCGAAAACGCGCTCCGACCGCTCCGGATGCCTTTCAAGACGACTCCCATGACGCCAAGAAGGCACCCGAAGGCCCCGAAGACGCCCCAAGGGGCACCCCGAGAGAATTCCAATACGCAAAAATCGTTGTTTCCCGATTAGAAAACTGATATTTGTTGGCTTGTTTGCCTTTTGGGCTTCCACTGCGTCCAAGACGGCCCAAGAGGCACCCAAGCCGGTCGAGGATGGCCACAAGAGGGCCCCAAGACGGCCCACGAGGGGGCCAAGACGGCCCACGAGGCGCCCAAACCGCCCAAGAACGCCCCAAGGCGGTGCCCAAGACGGGGACGAGGAACCGGAAATTCTCGCCTGTTGGCCCAAGAGACCCTCAGGAGACCCCACGAGGCTCCAAGAAGGGACCCAGAAGTTCCAAGAGGCCCCCATGAGACCCGAAAAAACACCAAAAGAGGCCCCGAAGACGCCCCAAGAGGCATCCCAATCTGCCGCCCCCTGTCGATTCATCGCAGGGGGGCCTGGCGTGCTAGATTATTTCTGTTTTGGTTTTGGTTTTTTTCCAAAAGAACTCCCCCTGGCGCTTCGGCCCGTCCCACCGGCCACCCGAAAATTCCCCAATCCTGGAAAAAATCCGCCAAGACGGCTCAAGATGGCCTCCAAGATGGCCATGTTGGCCCAAGATGGCCTCCAAGATGGTCTAAGATGGGCTCCAAGTTAGCCCAAGATGGTCCAAGACGGCCTCCAAGACGGCCCAAGAGAGTCCAAAGGTGCCTCCAAGTTCGCCCAAGAAGCCTCCAAGACGGCCCAACACGACCCAAAAGGCCTCCAAGAGGTCCTCCAGGAGGGCCTGAAGAGGCCCGAATCATTTATTTCCCATAGCTTCTTTTTTAAGGATTTTAGCATTTGCTTCTTCTCGTCTTTCGGACGACCCACGACGGCCCAAGAGGCCCCCAAGATCGTCCCAACAGCGCCCAAGAGGCCTGCAAGATTGCTTCGGGACTGCCCAAGAGGCCCCCGAGACGGCCCTAAGGCGGCACAAAGACGACCCAAGAGGCCTCCAATACAACCAAGATGGCCTACAAGACGGCCCTGGAGTCAAAGTGTATATGCAGCGTCCCCCTCTGAGCCTCTCCGTTCCGTCGCCGCCAGTGTTCAATGCGGCCAGCCAGTGTCATTTGCTTGTACTGATGATGAGATTGGCGCCGCTGCGCCTCGTGGAAAAGGTTATCTTCCTTGCTCTCGCTGCGTGGCTGGCGCCGATCCGCTCATTCGACCTTGGTAGTGGAGCCTCGGTCCGTCGGCCGGGGCTCCACTGTGCGCTTCGCTGTTGGACACCGAGTTCAAGCTCGGCTACGTCGACGCCACTTCCTCCTCTTCCCTTTCACCGTCGACGAGGACGCTGCTGTGAAGTGCGTGTCCTTCTCTTTGATCTTGGTACGATGTCGGACACTCTCACACATGCCGACCAGGCGCAGATCATGGCCTCGATGACGGTACCTCCGGCATGGTCGCCAGAATGGAGCTCACGCTATCCCTTCCGAAGATGGCTCAGGGATGTGACGCTGTGGAGTATAGCAACAGAGGTTCCTGAAGCTGCTCAGGGTGCTGCGGTTGTGCTGCGCCTTGGAGGCGCCGCGAGGGAGTTCGCAGACGAGTTGGATGCGCAGATTCTGCAGCAGGGGCAGGTGTTGGACTTGCAGGACGGAGTTGGGCCCCGCACGGTGACTGGTCTAGCTGTGCTGCTGCGGGCTCTTGCTCGCAACTATGCTTTGGAAGCTGGAGAGGATGCGATCAGGGCCATGGCTGAGATGATGGCGTTTTCGGTCCAGCAGCACGAGACCATCGACGTTACTCTGAATAGATTCCAGGTGCTCAAGTCTCGCGCTAGTGATCACGGATTGAATACTGGACCTTCGGGTTGGGCTTGGATGCTCATGACAGGCTTGCGCGTTCAACCAGACGAGTGGCTGCATCTACTCGGCATGTTCGACAACCGGTCGCCTCAAGATGATGATGAGTTCAGTCGCTTGCTTCACAGTATCCGTCCTCGCGGTCACGCGTTCATGCAGGACGGCATCATGAGAGCGGCGGAGAGGGCAGCGCGCACCCCAGGTGCAACGGCCCATCCAGCTCATCTTGGCCTCGGCAAAGGTAGGCCCTTCATGACCAAGGATGCAGGCCAGGGCTTCTTCCCAACGTTTGGCGAGGTCAACCAGTGGGGGGGGTTCTTCCCCGCATCGGCGGCGCCGCCGCAGGCGCCTTGGTCACCATCGGGCGCAGCATCTTCCGCGTCGGCTGGAGTTCAGAATGCGCAGTGCGATGAGGACAACGCTTCGACCAGTGGCACTGACTACTTCGATGAAGGCCCGCAGGACTTAGCCACTTATCTTGCCGAGGTTGATCCAGAGATGCATGGGGACGTTCTTCGCCACGAATATATCATGTCAAGACGACGTTGGAGGCAGTTTAGTGGCCGACCCTCTCGATTCCATCGTCGCAGTGGGCGAAAAGGTTCCAATTATGGTGGCAAGAGTCGTGGTCGTGGCTGGTTGGGCAAGGGCTTTCACTACGAACGTGATCCCACCGCCGCTGCTGCTACTTCACCCGTGCCAGGTGTTGCCCCAGGCTTCGTGGGCGCGGCCTAGCAAGCAGGCAAGAAGGGGGGGAAAGGCTCCGGAGGTGGCGGAGGAGCTGGCGCAGGCAAAGGCAATCCCCGCGATGCTCAAGGCAACGTTCTTTGTTGTCACGTCTGTAATAGCGACCGGCACCTCGCCAGAGAGTGCCCGCAGAAAGGGAAGGGCGTTCGCACTTTCGTCACTCATGATGACGGTCGTGGCTGCGACGGTGGCGGAGGCGGTTACGGCGGGGGCTCCGGCGGCAGCGCCGGCGGAGGCTGGTTCGCCACGGCGGGCGATGTGCACAAGCAGGGTCAGCTCGCACTAGAGGATGAGACGCTCGACGGCTACGATGGCTACTCTGATGATTGGCACGATTACGACGAGGCCGATGACTTCTTCGACGACGAAGGCTTGCCCAAGGACAACGGCTCTGCGGGCAAGAACCGCAAGGGCAAGGGCAAACAGGACAAGGGCAAGGGCCTCGATCGACAGCGCGGTGGATCTCATGCTCAGACCACGCAGCTGAGCAGTATTTTGAGTTCGAAGATTGACAAGCGTAAGATCCAGGCTGACGAGGGGGCCGCCCTGATCGTCGAGCGCGCAGCTGCAGTGGCTGCGCCCAAGGCGTTCATGCCGCCGCCGCGCCAGCCGCCAGAACTGGCGGCAGCGGCGCCGATCGCACCTCCTCCTGCTCGTGACTCGTCGGTGCCGGCGGCGGTCAGTGCTGCAGCTGTCGTTTCGCCTTTCTTGCACAGGACTACGGGTAGCAAAGGTTTGTTCTTCCCGATCCAGGAGCGCAGCCGTTCGCTTGCTCGACAGCGTCTTGGAGCCTGGCACGCTCGTGCGCGGCTGTCGGATGGCCGCGAGGCCTTGCTGGTGGATCCAGGT